TGACACTTTGTTCTTTGTTTCCTTATGGGATCTAGTCAAGGATAGGTGGCGAGTGTGTTTTTTCTCCCCAAATGTTCTAGAAGTATCTGTCACAGCAGCAAATATTTCTAAACAAAAAGGTAATTAATTAGTGACAGCCTTATGAAACTGTTATGAAAACATAGCCGCTGAGACATGTACCACTACTATATTATACCACATAACGAAGGCTGTGAAAGCACATTCACCTGGGGGAGCAAATTATTGTAAGGCTCTAGTAACATGACGCAAACTCTTCTATGTTTTAACTTCCTTTTTTTGTACTTCCTGAGTGCTGTGTATCCAACACCGAAATCGTGACACAGTGAATTGATTTAAGACACAGAAATGGATTGCATTTTTGTAGCTGTAAGACACTTAATTTCTGGCAATCTTCCCCTTTGTACCCCCCACCCCCAGTACAATGAAGAAAAAAAGAAATCGTTCAGAAGGTTTCTTCTAAACAAGAAATTTTGCATTTGTGTATTCAGGGCACAAAACCTGGTATGCATATAGCTCTTGCAGTGTAATAAATGTTTGCCTGTAAAATTAAGCATGAAGGTTAACCTTTGTATCAGCAATTCTTGTCCCTCTTAAGAACGTTCTGCCTTTTCATTATAGGATTGGGTTAACCTGTTACAAAGGTTGAAAGGTCTGTGCCTTCTTATTATAGTATCTCTTATTAAAACAAACTTAAGCCGCTCAAAGTTACAGAGCATTTGCAGCACTGTAAACTGCACAAATTTACAACCATTGCTTCACTGCATGAAATGTAGTCAGATTACTAGTGATGAAATATTGTAGTGATGAATTCCCAAGCTTATGAATGTGTTGAGACTTTTTTTAGTCTTCTCTTGGGCTGGTCCTGAGAGTGTGTACAGGTTTGTCTGTATTGTTGGTTTGTAGATGCTAATGAGGAAAACCAGGCTTTTGTTCTCTCCGTTTTGTTTGAATTGTTACTCCTCCATATAGTGCATAGAATGCAAATAAAGAAATGTTGATTTGGCATAATGTAAACAGCCTTTTCAGCCTAAGCATTCATAATAAACTTTTATAGTGTAATAACATGCTAAATCACTACCGGTCTGATGTATTGTGGAAAAAAAAAAAAAGGTGTAAACATTTTATTAATAAAAAAGCTTTGTTTATAAATGTCCTGGCCTTGTTTATAAATGCTTCGAAAATTCTCAATGTCTTAAAAAATAGTCTCTATAACAATAGATTTATAGAAGAGGAATGTAAGCAGTACCATGGCAGAAGTGAATCCAAGCGATGATTCAAATAGCTGTTTTCCAAATGTACTGACTACTGGTCATTCAGAAACTGAAGCTTTTCCATGGTTTATGTATACATAGACAAAGGCAGAAGATGAACTTTTACAAAGAAGGGATGGGGAAAAACAGCAGAGAGAATGCAGCTTTTGTGTAATGCTTCCTTTCTTTGCAGCATGATGCCTGAGAAACTGCAGGCCACACACAGTCTTGTCAACCAGTGCAAGGCCTGACCAATTCTACCAGGGTCAAGTTATTTAATACATTGCTTTTAGCTTAGGCTGCATGAAATGTAAAATTCTTGACTGCTTAGGCCAGGTTTCTGTCAATCAAAACTGTAAGTGCTTTTAATATCTGCATAGTGCTGTGGGGGCCTGTCATGCTGGGAAGGGATCCTTTCTTATTTGTTAATACAGCCAGCTGGTTGGCAGCTTCCTTTTCTTAAACCACTGCTTTGCTGGTTATGTAGAGCACAAAAATACAGAGTTGGCTGCAGTTATCTCGCTTGTCTTATGCGATGCTTAAAAGATGCAGTTTTCTTGTTTCAACGTGTGATGCAAGTCTAACATGTTCAGTTGTTAGCACCCTTCAAAAGCATAAATAACCAAAAAAAGTCCTGTTTCTGATACTGCTATTTCACCGGAAAACATTGGATATAAGTTTCTACTAAACAACTGGCTGCAGTTCATGTGCAGGAAACACACACTGTCATCTTTTTAACAGAGACCTGGAATAACTTAAATTTATTGTTCAATACCTACTATTCTTAAGTTATCCTCTTAGATGTGTGTAAACTGCTTTTGAAGAGCATCAAATATGTTTGTATAAGGGGGTATAAATGTGCATCAGAGAGAGCATAAGAAGGCTAAATACAAGGAATGTGCTAGAATAGAGAGAAAAACACACTTACATGTGTTTGCATAGGGAATCTAGATAACTAAATGCAAACCGCCTAATTTGCACACACACAATGAGAGAAAGTTTTACTTGGATTGAATATTTCATAGCTTTTAAGGTAAAGGTTTTGCAACAGATTAAACTGTTCTTTAAAATTGTTCCAGTACAAAGCTTTTAGGCACTCTTCAGCGTTTCCCCGTAGTGTTCATCCCTATTTTTTCCTGTTAATCAGAAACCCACTTTGGCAACAACTTGCCTTCTAGTCTTGTCATGGCTGAATTGTTAATAAAGTGAGGGTTGTTTTGTGTAATTGATAAGGATGTAGTATTACAGGTGGCCTTCACGCCCATTTCAATGAATCAGATCTGCAGAATATTAAATGTACACGTTATTTACATATAACAAAAACTTTTCAACCTACATTCATTAGACTTCATAAATTTCCAACTTAAACAATGTTGCACTTTATAAAAACTTCAGCCTGGATGAAAAAACATGGGTGAGTCCTTCAAATACAAGCAGGTAAGTTCAGAGCTGCTAGTTGCCATAAGACAATACAACTTGGCGAACCCTTTAAGATGCAGATCATCAAACACTTAAGGGTGTTCTTTGTACTTTCAGGAAAAGTAGAACTTGGAATGGTCTGGGCAGCAACACTGAACAGTTGTTTACTTTAGGGTTTTTTATTATGTATGACTATATCTTGTATGAAGTTTCCTCTGTCTTATTCGTCACTGTTAGTTTCCAATTAACTTGCAGATGTGTGTAAAGCTTGTCTTTTCTACTAATTACTGGACTGAGAATGCCTTGCTCAGTGAGAGAATCTGCTCATAAAAATAAAACCTAAGCGATTACGTGAAAGAAGATAACCCTTCCAGAATATCAGCCAAAGAAAGCTCTGCTCCAAAGTGTAAGTGAACTCAATTCTCTCCTGATTTGAGATCTAGTAAAATGTTATGACATAATCTGTAGTTTATGCTATAAATTAAACCCCCACAAGTAGAAAAAGTAATAAGCCAAGAACATCCTAGGCTCCAAATCTAATTAACTAAGCAAAGTAGAATAGCAGGGACCTGATAAAAACAATGCCTCCCTTTTATGACATTATGTGACCATCTTTTCTCCTTAATTCTTTCAAGGAATTTAAGGAAGAACAGCAGTACATTATTTACATGTGTTGCTGTACTTTGCTGAAGGTTCTAAAAATTAGTCCTGCTGTATTGGCTAGAAGGAGTTAGCAGGTTTCACTTGCATTACGCAAAACCAAGAATTATCCTAAACACATACATGGGTTTGGTTTGTTTTGGCATGGAGTGAAAGACAGAACAAAAACAAAAGATGAAACAGGATTGGAGGCAGTTAAGCAGATGAGCTGAAAAATGGGGATTATCATGCACAAGAGCAGCTGAAGTCTTGAGTTGTGGTATAAATACTGCAGATGTGCTTAGAGCACTGAATGTCATCATCCCGTTTAGTGGTGTTAATTTTAACATCTACATCAGTCATTTGCCATTGCTTTTATTGCCAGAAATGAGAACAACCCTGTTGAAAATTCCAGATCTCTTTAGCTACCTTATACATTTTTGGTAATTATGAAGTAAAACAACATTCAAGATACAAAGAACTTCTCTGAGGGTGAGGTACACTGCATCACGCAGATTGTATTGGTGTGATAAAATGAATTTTCACAGTGGTTTACTACTACCATATTTTTATTTGCCTCTTTCTTACCCATTTGCTAATCAGACCTGATTAGGACTTAACTGTATGCTTTGAGTTGCTATTCTTCAGAAGCTGACAGATGTCAATACACTAGCTTTTTATCTCTGCAAATGGTATCTCCTCCCGAAGTCCTGTATATCTGAAGTCCTGTTGCCTAATGGATACTTTTTGGTGTACGCAAATTACCAGTTTTTAAGACCAGCATGTTTCTGTTAGTAATACGGGCATCCCAAACTCCTGCTTCATTGTTACCCCTCTGCTGATTTTGACAGGTTACAGCAATGCTTCATAAATTCTTCGGAACTTTTAGAATGCTTAAAACAACCTGAGGGGAGAGAGGAGAAAAAAAAAAAAAGTTTGCTGCTATTGTAACTACAGTGGCCTAAAGCTATCAATAAAGCAGTACTTCATATTAGACCAATCTGTAAATTTTAAAAATATTTTAAGTCATGCTATTTGGAGTAAAAAAAAAAAAAAAGCCCAAACCCAACAACGACAAAAAAAACACCCCAAAACAACAACAAAAACGCAAACCACACAGTCGAGAACTTTGGTTACGGTTTACTTAAGACGGAGGGCGGGAGAAGTGTCTTCAACACTAAGGTGACCTGGAAGTCTAGTTTTATTTATTAAAAAGTCGGTCTTTCCTGTAGCTTGACGACAGTTACCAGGGTTTTCCTGGCACTGTGGTGCTCCGTCCTTCAGCCTTGCAGTCATACCGTAAGTGCCCTCGGATGTCATTCCGTACAGGGCGGCTCTCGGACGCTCCAGGAATCCCTCCTCGCCCTGGACGCGTTTCCCTTCCCCGTTTCGAGCCGAAGGGTCGGTCCCCGGGGGCGCGGGAAGGGGCCAGCGGCCGAGCCGCGGGGCCTCTGGGGGGGGGGGGGGGCCGGGACGGAGACGGCTCCTTCCCTGCCGCGGGCAGACCTGCGTTTTACGGAATCAAGGCCTGAAATGAGAGGCTGCTGCTCGATAAGGCGGCATTTACTACAAATCATGATTTTTCACGAAGAGGGGCTGAGCAGCCTCCCCGCCCACCCGCTCGGCCCCGGCCCTCCCTCCGCCGGCAGCCGAG